AGATTTTAAGATCCTCTAAATTTTGCTCCAAGTGTTGTGTTAAATTCAGGATTCTGGACAGACAGCTGTCTGTTTTTCCAGTTCTAGTCATAGTGGTTAACCTAAATGTTTTTGGAGATCCAACAGTGATGTATGTGTTTTTTCTACTTTTCCATATCCTGTCACCTCAACCAGCTGGGAGAGTCAAGTTGTGGATCATCATGAAGATTTTTAAAAGGTGAGTTTAGATTTCTTGAATGTTTTATTTACTTTAAATGTTCTTTTAAATATATCATAGAATTTGATTGCAATTTGTTTTCAAACATTTTTCTTAGTCATGCTGGAGTTTTGAAGAGTTCTTAGATGAGCATCACCCTATATCCGTGCATCAGGAACCACCAGACGAGCGATCAGCAGCTGCTACATCGTCATGGATAAAAAGGTCATCCTGTGGCTGGGAAGCACTTCATTCACAGGACATGCTTGATGAGATTTTCTAGCTAGTTTGTTTTCACACAAGTTTACAGCATTTATACCTTCATTTAAACTGCTGTGTTTGATATGGAGGACCAAGGAAACACCCAAAGTGAAAGATTTGCAGGCCAAGTTGTTTAAAATGTAATTTCACAAGAAAACTGAGTTCAGAAGTAAACTATGAGTGACGCTATATTGAACTTTCAAATTGCTCTGATAACACATCAAGTTTGGACCAAAGGACTGAAACAGCTTTTTGAGCACTGGTCATACAAATTTTGTTGATACTGTCTGTACTAATAAAACATTTAAAGCATATTTGACATTGTTGCATTTTAAAAACTGAATGAATTGTTGAAGTGGTGAATGTTTTCAAATAAAATGTTTTTTCTTTTGTAATTTACAGTCTATTTGACCTTTTTACCATATTTACACTCAAGAGAGTTGAATAAAATAACAATATATTACACCAGGCGGTGTTAAATATAGTTACATTTTTTAACTCTGCCCAGAGTTAAAATTAACCCTTACTTCGGTGTCAATGTGCCAACCCTTTTGAAAGTGTTGATTTAACTCTGTTTTGAGTGGACCCCATGAGACACTTTCAAAGTGTTGAAATTAACACCCATAGAGTTGTTTTGGGTCCCCATATTTTGCTGTGTATGTAGTCAGATTCAAATGTAATTTTACTTTATCCAAAGACACAAAGATATCAATCTAACAGCAGGGAGACACAAAAACACAATGTTTGAATGTCCATAGGATTAGAGTTTCCATTACATTGACGTGTTGATTCTAAATGAAAGACTGGTTTAGGAAACAAGACTAAAACATTTGATGGAACCATAAGGGAAACTAAAACCACCCCTATATTTTTCATCACTCATTACATTTAGAGTTTTGATGGAATTTCTCAAAAGGAAGACGGAAATGACAAAGAAAGAGCTTTTTATGATGCACATGATATTTCCTCTATATTGTAGTGTTGATAGAACATGAGAAAATGATTAAGCCATTTTCTTTGGTGCAAGATAATGTTGTAAGAGATAAGAAAGTTCAGTAACTGCATCTGCATTGTGTCTCTCATTTTTTAATACGCATTTGGAATACTTTTCCTTTTGCAACTCAAAAACCAATCTCTCTCGATGTGCTAGTTCCTTTAAAAAGATTAGCGAATTCATCTCAATACTCCAAAAGAAAAAATAATAATAAATGAAGCCCAAGCGAGGAACTCTTCGCATTTTCTCCACATTAGTGACATTGCTTCAATACAGACCTCATTATTTTACTGTATTTCAAATGCAAGATGTGTTTTATATAAAAGTGATTATTAACCACATTCACAGACATGGCCTGCCTCTGTGTTAGAGATGAGAAGAAGGTTACAGTTCTTTGTTATTTCTGGGCCTTGCTGCAGCAATATTACCATTTATTTCAAATCTGAGAGCTCATATAATAGCAATTTTCACAGATTAGAAAATGACTGATTATTGTTTAATATTGATGTTACTTATCCAGATTCCCACTATGGTGTGTGTCCTGCTAAGTGGTAAAATCTTATACAAACTGAATAAATGCATATGCTACTGAGAGGAGCAGAAATATCTGCTTAACCCTCAAGGCTTTTGAACATGACACATTCTTATTGCATTAGGCTGCTGTTTTGTTTGCGCTATCGGTGCTACTGCACCTCAGGTTCGGTTTGAAGTGTATCCAGTTTGACAAATGGTTTCCGCATTGCCTTTATTACTCCCTGGATTTCGTATTATCACATAGATTAGATATTAATTTGCTGCAATTCTGTGGGAGGGTTATGACTAATATTGCCGGATGTTGCTATTTTTCCTTTCACGTTTGGGCTTGTGGTTCATTCATTATATTTTACCCAGATAAACTTTATAAAAGATTTAGGGTTCAACAAATTTGTAGTTTGTGCGAGATGAATAATTCAAATCTTCAACTTTTGGGAGTAGAATAACAGTACATTCACGAGGTAGAACATTTCAACAATGCATCAAAGTAGACTGCTCTGATCACATAATGAACTGCCTAAAATGGGAGGTTTGTTCATTTTTGTCTTACTGAAAGTGTTAATTTAATCAAAGTATGCCACCGTAAATACAAAATGGCATGTTAAAAGATTCAATTTAATTCAAGATTTATTTGTATAGTGCTTTTTACAATGATTGTTTCAAAGCAGCTTTACAAAAGGTGCACATTATTGCATTTCAATCAAATTTAATCAAAGTTACAATCAAATATGAGTTATTATATACATATTTAACCTGCACTTTTACTGTATATACAGTAGGTGATGTCTTTGTGTCCATTTATTCATTAATTTTCCTTCAGCTTAGTTCTTTTATTCATCAGGGGTTGAATTTACATCCATACACACTCATTCACACTCATATGCTGCATCCAATCAGTAGTATCTGGATGCAGCCTTTAGGATGCAAGGTGAGGTTGCATTACTTAGCGATGCAATGTCAGACACAATGGACTCAATGGAGCAAGTGCTGTCACTGTGACGGGTAGAGTTAGGGGTGGGGTTAGGTGAGCGCATTAAAGAGCATTGGATGCACTGATTTGCATCCAGACCCCTCTCCATCCAATTTGCATACATATTCTACACCCTAAAAGAATGTACTTTTTGTGAAGGAAAAATATATACTTTTGAGTGTGTAACAGAAGAGTATGCAAGATTTCAGACACACTGCTTCCTCGTTAACAGATCGTTATGTTGCTTAGTTTAATTTTCTTATTTTAATTTATTTCCTACCTGATTGGGAAGCAGCACCAGGTTAATCTACCATTTACGAGTCTTTTATGCTGAGAAATATCTGCAGGTCTTTGGTTAATTATGCATCCAGAAGTTAATGTCCAAACACGTCTTTATATAAGTTCAGTAATGTTGTTGCAGATTAAATATAAAACAAAACGTGGTTTAAATACTTTCCAGTTGGCTAGATATTAATTAACAGTCATATAAACATCTTTACATAAGTGTCTTGGTTGTCCGCCATGATTGTAAATTTAAACTTTTCAACTGTGTTTGTAGTTTTTAAAAAGTGCAATGTACTGTGGGCAATACCAGCGGTTAGTTTGGATGGTTCTACGCTTAATTTTTTTACTGGAAATAGTAAAAAATGGCCTACTTTTTTCAACATACTACGATTTAGCACATACTACGATTTAGCACATAATCTTCAAATACTATTTAGGATGGATATTATGCAAATTAGGATGCAGCAATACACTACAGCCAACTTAGTTTATTCAATTCACATATAGCAAATGTCTTTGTACTGTGTTGGAAACTGGAACACCTGGAGGAAACCCACACAAACATTGGGAGAACATGCAAACTCCACACAGAAATGCCAACTGACCCAGTCGGGACTTGAACCAGCGACCTTCTTGCTGTGAGGCGACAGTGCTAACCACTGAGCCAGCCGTGTACATGTTTAATGAAGTGTTACTGTGATTATTAAGTGTGTGTCTTCCTAAATGTCCTCAATGGATTCCATCATCTCTTCATATGAGTTGTCTTTAAAGTCATCGATGGTTAGCATCATCTCTTCACAGGTCTTGGATCCCATAAATGGCACTGCACAATCTCTAGAGGCCTTGGGATGACCATCTCAAGATATTTTCATTTATATTTATTACCAGTATGTAGTTAACGTTTTGTGTTTTTTCCTACATGTATACTATTCACATGTATGTGTGAAAACCACAAAAGTTAATTGTGTTTGCGCACACTTGGCAAATAAAGCTCAGTCTGATTCAGATTTATTCATATTTGTTCTTATGCTTGTTTTTTATAAATAATAAACAACATATTTTAATTATGCTATTAAGAGTAAAAGACAAAAACATGAAAAATTAACATCTTCTTGACTACTGATAACACAAAAATACATACAGTAATACAAATCTGCAAGGAAAGCACTTTACACAAAATAAACATGAACTGAAATGAACTGAATTGAATAACTTTTTAATTGCTTAATTGCTACATTTTATATTTACAGCCTATTTTTGTGGATCTTGTAAATATGTCACGGATAGTAACAAAAACAAACATTAAAGATTAACCTTTGAAGAATGACATTTTTAAGAGAGAAGAACCAACAAAATGACAGTATAAAAACTTAACAAACTCATAACATGTCTTTATTATGTTTTAATTCTGTTCTAAATTTTTGAATCCAGTTTCAGAAAGTCAATGGATAAGATTCAATTGGTTTCTTCTATCTCTAACATTAATTTAAAATGCATATGTCAAATGTTATTACTTTTTTTATTGCAATAACAACAGGCCATTGCAACAAATAGAAATACAAAAACTGACAGAAGTATACTACAAGCAGTACAAATATTACTTTTCGCAACATGAGAAATATAACAATTTTAAAGTAAATTTAAAGAAGGTCAAATGTTATTACTGTCCACAAGATTATAAAATAGGAAGTTTTATTTAATCCGTGACGTCATTCTCCGCTCTCAGCCTATAGATGGCGCTGGTGCAGGTCTTAGCGGACATGACATCATAACAACCACATTTGTCTCATCTTAGACTTAAGCGCGGTCTATTGGAATTTGCGAGTAATAGTATTTTTCACTCTTAGTTTTGTGAGGTAATGTATTCTGAATTCGTTTTGTTTAATATCAGTTGTAAATGACCAAAAAATGAATGCGGGTGTAGCTCATTTACAGAGCAAACTCAGGCTAGACTGTTTTGAGCTGATGGGGTGCTAGCTAGCTAACCTCTAAGCGTCTGCATTAGAGGAAAATAGACTGAGGAAAAAATAAGTGTTGTGTTTCAGCTGCTTAATTAAGCAGGCATAAAATAGGCTGTTTTCATTTATAAGGATTGCTAGTGTTTCCGAGAGTTCTGTAAGTACTTTGAAAATGTTTGAAATACTATTGTTTAACTTGAGTTTACTTGCTGTCTTGTATTTCAGGTTTGGTATCGATTTGTGGTACCAGTTTTCATGGCTGCTTCTGCCTTGCAACAGCCCAGTTATCTTCTGGTGAGTACTGTTATTATACTAAACCACACTGATATAATCTACTGTTAAGGTAAAGTTAGTTTTATATTCGCACATTCGTTCAGAGAAAACTTGTGAGACGCTCCCTATATTGTTTACCATGGTACTTTGAATATTTGGTCTGAAATCACATGTAAATATCACTATTTAATTGACTGGGAACTATGTTGTACTTAGAAAGTCATTTGGCTGCTAATAAGATTTCACTATTTATAATTTGCAAATAATATTTTATTGAAATTATACTATTAAGGAGAAAGTCTGAGTGTGTGAATATAAAGTAAACTTTACCCCCAGTAAATCTTCTGATTTCATTATTATTATTATTATTTAATCCTTCTGTCTTGACTGTAGGCTAATTTAAAGGCAGACTGGACCAATAAACCTCTTCACCAAAGATGTCATGAGTTGTGCAAAATTATAGATGATTATCCTGCAAAGGTACGTTTCTATTAATTGGTACATGTGGGAATGATGAAATGCCTTTCTTTAATAGGATAATAATAATGTTGTTATTATGTATATATGTATATGTGTATATATATATATATATATATGTATATATATATATATATATATATATATATATATATATATAGTGTAGTAATACACTTTTATAGCCTAACTGAGAAGGTCCAGGCATGGGACGTTCTTTTAAGGTATACCGCGGTTTGGAAAAGTCAAGGTTTCAAAACCGCAAAAAAAATTTCTGCTATACCATTCCTAAGGTATATGTACGATTATTATTATTTATTTATAAAAAAAATTTATGTTTTGTTTTAGCAGTATCTCCTGCAGAAAAAAATCTCCTAACACGCCTTTTCAAGTTTAAAGAAATAAGTGTTTTTGAAACAAATGGAGACAGCAGAAGTCAATAATTCATTTGAATTATTTAGCCTGACGTGCTTACTGCTCCAAAATATTTATTTATTATTTTATTTAGTATATTTAGTATCTTAAAATAAAATATATTGTTTTCAAAGGGGGAAATGTTTTTTTTTTTTTTTTTTACCCAGACATTTATTAGGAATGTATTTTATTTAGTATATTTAGTATCTTAAAATAAAATATATTGTTTTCAAAGGGGGAAAAGTTTTTTTTTTTTTTTTTTTTACCCAGACATTTATTAGGAATGTATTTTAGAGCATTAATCACAATATCGTAAAAACATGATAGTGTGTGATATTTGTATCTAAGGTTATCATACTGTCAGAGTCTTATAACGGCCCATGCCTAAGAAGGCCAATTGCACGTTTTTCTTTTTAAATCCAGTGTGATTGTTAGGTTTATCTTTTGAAATCCATTGAGGTGGTAACACTATTGCTTATGTGTTAGAGATTAAGTGCAGTGTCATATGCTTGGCATGTGGTACAGGACCAGCTGCTGTCCTGCTGGCGCCGGTTTACCCACATGCTCACTCAATTCTGTGCTGTCTGAATGAAGGATGTTTGTTTAGTACTGAACCTGCGTGACCTCAGATTTATGTGAGCATTTGTGTTAGCCGCACCTGCCTGCACAATCTTACTTCGTTGTTGGCTAAGTCACATTTGTTGTTCTTTTTCTACTCAAAGGTTTTTATTTTTATTTTATTTTCACTTTTACATTTTAAAATTGCTGTTTGTGTTTTACGTGACATGTATTTGATTAGGAGCTGCATGCAATCTTCCCATGGTTGGTGGAGTGTGTGTTTGGAAGTCTGGATGGAATTCTTACTGGCTGGAACCTTCGGTTTCTGCAGGCTCGATCAGCAGAGTACAGCATTGCCATGGAGTTCCTGGACCCAAGGTTCTCTTTCTTTTTCTATGTTATGGTTCAATTATTATGTGTGTTATTTGTATGCATGACTAGTTTGACTTTAGCCATTGTGTTTGTGTGTATGTTAGGGCTGGGCAATAAGACATTATTAAAAGTCTGTCATTTTATGATATTTTCAACTGTTTATTTTATATTGTTGTAAAATACATTTTTTAAAGTAATACCTTTTCATCATTAGCATGACCACTGTCTAACATTTCACCATGGGCATTTTGACAGAATTTGAATAATGATGAGAAAATTGCAAGCTTTACATTAAGAAATTACAATGTTTACATTTTGTCCACCTCCCCATGGTGGAATGTTGGATATTTTATGTTTGCGCCCGAATCATTTGTTTTGGAAAAGTGTTTTGTATTTGATTATTGTTCATTTTTTTATATTTCTTATCAAACATTTGCCCAGAAATTCTAAACAAGGTGAGAAAATAATCACATATGAATGAGTACATACTTTGAAACATACAAAAGAAATGGTCCTTTCAATGTAGACAATATACACAAACGTACACATTGATAATTGTTTGAGTTTACAGAAAAGGAACTGTATAGTGATGCATATTATCTTCAAGATATGAGACATGTATCATGCTATACAATTTTTGTCCTATTGCTCAGCCCTTGTGTATGTTTATGCATGCATATATTCAAACACACACACTCTCTAATTAGTCATGGATGCAAATGCAACATAATTATTATAAAGAATAATAATAACCTTTCTACCAGTACTTCTTGAGCCCCAAACCCCCATTGTATTGATTTCTGAAGGAGCATGTGACATTGAAATTTGGAGTACTGGCTGAAAAAATATTTTTTTACAGCCAAAAATAAATAAATGCAAATGTATTAAAATAAATTTTTTTTATTTATAATAATATTTTATATATTTTTACTGACTTTACGGCATTTCTGAATAAATAAATAAATGTAACATTGTTAAGGTTCAATATGGATATAAGACTTTTTTTGCTATGTTATGATTAAATGTGAAATGTTTATTCAACAGTGGTCCTATGATGAAACTGGTATACAAACTACAAGCAGAGGAATACAAGTATGAGTTTCCAATCAGTTATCTGCCGGTGAGTGTGCTCTCCAGTGAACTCAGCTAAGGGTTTTATGTGCTGAGCTGTTATTTTAAATTTGTTAAACCTGTTAAGAGATGTTCATTTAGGTTGAGGTTCATTATCACTGATTAATTTCAAAGTAGTGTGTTTTTCACAGTGTTATTAACCATGTCTACATTTATGCGTGTTCTGTTTGCACAGGGTCCAATAAAGTCGTCCATTCATGCTGGGGTTTTGCCAGATTGCCCTCTGTTTCACAATAAAATTCAGTTCCCCATGTCAGGCCTGCTATTTCTCAGTACGTCTTGGCTTTTTTTCCACACTCACTTTCTGTAAAACAAAATGTTTTGCATCTTATTGTAACTATTACAAGGTTGTTTCATCACTCTTTATCTTTCTCTCACATAAATATCTGTTCTTAATCTTTTGCAGATCCTTTTGAATATTATATGTTCAACTTTGCCTCCAGTCTCATTGCACCAAAGGTACAAACTCATCAGCTGTCAGAAGGAAATTTGTTTGCTGGAACCAATATATTTTATAGTTTATTTGATTTATTTTTTTTAAAGCCTGATGGTTGTTTAAGCAGTGCGTTTGTTGAAATGTTGTTTAATGATCTTTTTAGAACTACCCTCAAGGGCAGCATGGGAGTAGTTCAGACAGTGCATACTTTGTGCTTGTCGACACCTACCTCAAATACTTCCTCCCTACAGAGGGCAATGTGCCTCCATCACCTTTCTCAGACACCAGGGGCACAGTGGCCTCTCCTGCTCCAAGGTGTGTTTTTTTATATATATAAATGTCATGTCCAATCTTTACACTGGTTATAAAAATGCACTTAATGTCAATCAGAACACAAGTGAACAATGCGAAATTCATGTGTAAACAAGGAAGTCGTAGGCAAGCATATTCGGCCAGTTAAATAATGATGTTATCAGATTTAGTTGTGTAAATGAACGGTCACAATGTGTTTAAACAGCAACAAAAACCCCTGCTATTTGATGTATAAGAAGCACACCAATATAAACTTTTCATTCTCTGCTGTGTTGTATAAGAACATGCAGACTTCATAAAACAAATTCCATCCACAGAAGATTTAGTTTGAATTCCAAGAGATTCATTCAGTCAGAAACTGTAAAGCTTTTTGGCTGGACATTTTTTAACAGATCACTGAGAAATACATCTTACTGTAAAATTTAAATGTCATGTGTGTTAAATTTCCTTAATGTTTTGATATATAGAAGGTAATTTAATATATAAATATATAAATAATATATTTTAATATATTTTGATGTATAGAAGGTCAAATGTAAGTTGCAAATATAATGCAAGTTTAAGAGCTTTCTGGTTACTCTAAAAGCAGTTTATTTACCTAAAATAAGTTCTTTTTTTTGTTTTAGTGGGGCAAATGACTAGCAATAACAAATGGCAGAAAACGATCAAACTAATTGCTTTACAAACAAGTGTATTTGTAACTATAATAATAAAAAAAAAGAAAAAGAGATTGCAAGATCAAGCATTATATGAGCTGTTTTTTTACAGCTAAAAACCAATGAAAGTGAATGGAACCAGAAGTTTTATGTCAATAAGTTTTTAATTGCTGCACCTTCTTTTATCTGAAAGAACAATAATATAAAAAGCCAATACGGGAAGTTGTGGAAAGAGCTACTGTATTATGCAATAGTGTGGCTAGACTCCACATCCACAAAGATCAACGACTGTTACAACATTACTACCTGTTTAACACCCAGTCATTCTGCAGCAAATAAATACCAAAAAAAACAAATGTAGGTATATGCAGAAGCCAAACAAATAAAGATTGTTAGTTTGCCCTCATTCTGATCCCAACATTATGGAAGGACGGTCTTCTAAAATGTTTTGTGATGTAAAAATTCTGAGAACCTGTGGAAATTTAAAAAGCATTTTCTGACATCTTCAAAGGGAGTTCACCCAAAAAGGAAAGTTTCCTCTCCATGTACTTAGTCAAGTGGTTTTCAATTTGTATAAATTTCTTTATTCTTTTGAACTTAAAAAAGAATATTCTGAATAATGTTGGGGCAAACCAGCCATTGACACCCATATTATGGCACTATAAATGTCAATAAATATTTTTTCCCCCAGCATTTTTTCCTTTGGTGTTCAACGGAAGAAAGAAAAGCAGCTGGAGAATGTCCAAATGATGACAGAATTTTCATGTTTGGGTGAACTATCCTTTTAATATAGAATTGAAACAGGCCTTTATCTAAACTAGTGAATGCTTGCTTTTGCAGGTCTACCAATGTGCCTTATGTTGGATATGGTGGTCACAGCACCAGTCTGTTAAAGCGTCATATTACCCATCAGTCTTCAGTCAACGCTGACCCTGCCGCTCAAGAGATCTGGAGGTCCGAAACACTTCTTCAGGTAGGAACAAGTTAACTGTTCTTAATTCTCATTTCCCTTGTTTTGAGCTAAACATGGTTGTGTGTTTGTAGGTATTTGTGGAAATGTGGCTCCATCACTATTCTCTGGAGATGTACCAGAAGTTGCAGTCTCCTCAGGTGAAGGTAAGATTGAGAAACTGTTCAGGTCAGAAACAGAAACATGCCAGTAGAACTAACACACTCCCTTCCTCCACTGCGCACGGCTGTCTGTCTGGCTGAACAGCACCACCCTACAGACCCTCCTTCACCCCTGCACTGCATAGGGGCTGCTGCACGACACCCACCCTAAATCATGCACTTCTTCTCCCTCTGTCAATGACACACATACACTCTATTGACAGATAGGCCCTTTATCATTCATAGCTGGAGTGTTGATATTAGCATTTTTACAAGTTTTTTTTTTTTTGAGTGATTTATTTTTTTTTATTGTTGTTTTTTGTTATTACTATTGATCTAATGTCAATATGGTTAACAAATTTGGGATAAAAACTAAAAAAGCTAATTTTTTTATTATCATTATTATTATTGTTGTTATGTTTTTATTTTTTGTTATGATAAGATAAACCGATGCTCCACATTTCCACAAATCTGCATCTAGTTCTGTTACACTGTACGTTTTGCCTATTTAATGTAAACAGACATTTTGTTAAAACAAATTTTACTCTAATGAATATGAATTAATTATTTAGATATGTTTCTGCTTCATTAGCTGGTAGTAATTTTAAGCATCTGTGTTACAGTATCAATTATTAAAGTTAGTTTATAAAATAACTTGAAATGGTCTGTGAAATATGTGCTTTAGTTTTAAATGTTGAAATTAGTATGATATTAAAAATATATTTTAAACATTTATTCAAATCAAGAGTTTATTGCAGTTTTGACCCAGACTAACATTTTTAAATGCTTTTTGATTTAATAAAGATAACAATCTCCTGCAAAGCATCAGCAAAAAGTTTTTACTTATCTACTGCAAACAGATTGATTGTACTATTCACTACCTGACAAAAGTATTGTCGACAACAAATAATAACTTGACTTCTAGTTGATCACTTGGTATCAGAAGTGGCTTATATGTAAGCCAAAGGCCTCTAGATTACGCTTATTTTAGCAAAGTTAAATATGATTATGCCTTGATTTTTAATTATTTAATTAGGACAGTAAGGTCTGACTTTGCAAGACAAAAGTCCTGTCACTTAACAGAAATAATGTACAGTATAGAATATAAAGTCATGGTGCAGTGGAAAAATAATTAATATTGTCTATGACTCCCATGAGCTTGGAGGACTGCATCCATACATCTCTGCAGTGATTCCAATAACTTATTAATAAAGTCATCTGGAATGGCAAAGAAAGCATTCTTGCAACACTACCAGAGTTCATCTGGATTCTTTGGATTTATCGTCAATGCCCGCTTCATCTTGCCCCAGACATGCTCAATAATATTTACACTGGTGACTGGGCTGGCCAATTCTGGAGCACCTTCGCCTTCTTTGCTTTCAGGAACTTTGATATGGAGGCTATAGTATGAGAAGGAGCGCTATCCTGCTGAGGAATTTGCTGCCTTCTGTGCATTGTAATGTAATGGGCAGCACAAATGTCTTGATACCTCAGGCTGTTAATGCCTAGTTCACACTAAAGGATTTTAAGCCTGATTTGAGCCCGATTTGGAAGTTAACGAGCTCGCCGACAGATCGGGCTGTGATCGGGAAGAAATCTGCGGGTGCTCGGCGCTCGCCGCTCTTTATGTGTGAACTACTGAGCAACGCATCAACGAGGCTCGCTGACGCGTCGCCGACACCTCGCAGACGGAAATCCAACATTCAGCATGCTAAATATTCCAGAGCAGTCGGCCGACTCAACCCCACGTGTGGTCAGATGTAGTGACGAGCTGCAGCCAATGAGAGAGCATTTCAGCATGAGCCGCGTGCCTGTGTGTTCAGGAGCTCAGCAGAAACATCTGTGATTGGTCAGAATGGGCATCGGTGTACTGGCTTCATTCTGCGTTAGCACAGACATGAGAGGAGGATATATTAACAGTGGAACTAGAATTCTGTAACTATTAGAATTACCATACTGCTCATCCTGACTGTTCTCATATAAAACGCCATATTGTCACAACATATTTACATTCAAAACTATTTTTGAGATATTAAAATTAAGCTTTGAATGTCTGGCATCATATTTAATGACACCATTACCCTAAAATATAATCTTTTTTTTTTGTAATACAGCCTATAAATATGTAGTTAAGATACTAAAACACTTAAAGGTCTTGGCTTTCATTTTCACTTTCAAACAGGAGCTATTTCACAGCACATAATATGCTGTTTTGAAAGATATCTAAAGTAAATTGATGTTTTTGCCATCAGAAAGTTTTGTTTATGTTAGCAGGAAGTTGCTAGGCAAGAAAATGCACACATATTTAAAGTCACAGTTCTTTACTGTTTTGTAATAAAAAAAAATAACAATGTCATGAAGAAATACACTAATAGTTAGAAAACGGCAGGGTGTTATAAATATGTTAGTTTTATTTCAAAAAGTTATAAAATTACAAAAATTAAAAACTCTCTGTTTATCTATCCACTGGAACCTGCAGATGAGTGATTAATCCGCTGATAAATCAGCTGATTTGACGATGTTTTTAAATGCTTTCTCCAAAGCTTGAAACGCTGTCAGTGATGTAATCAGCACACAAGCAGCCAATAGTGTTCAGCTTTTTCTGACAACTCCTCCCTCAAAATTTCATTGGCTGTGGTTTGGTAGCTTGAATGAACTGATGGGGAATGAGTTGTTGTCAGATCATGTAGTGTGTGACCCCCCCTCTTGTGGATCGTTCACGGAGTGTTGCGTAGTGTGAACACCACAGAGATTAAAAGACACAAAGTCAGGTCATGTAGTGTGAACGGCACAGCGATCTGCTGATGTTTAAAATCCTGTAGTGTGAACTAGGCTTAATGTTCCCATTCACTCTACAGATCTCTCACACGTCTCCATACTAAATGTAACCCCAAATCATGATTTTTCCTTCACCAAACTTGACTGATTTCTGAGAGAATCTTGGGTCCAGGTGGTTTCCTATTGGTCTTCTGCAGTATTTGTGATGATTAAGATGCAGTTTATCAGAAAAATCTACCTTCTGCCACTTTTTGCCTCTGGTGGTAGTGTGGAGAGACCCCTCTGATGATTGTGAAGAGCTTTGGGTGTATGGCCATACACAAATGCGCTATATAAATACACATTACATTACTTTTCCAAGTGATCAACTAGAAGTCAAATTATTATTTGTTGCTCTTACAACTGGTATCAACAAGACGTTTGTCAGGTAGTGGATCATGTTAAATACACTTTTGCAAAGAAATGCATGAATTTATTTTTTTTCCTCTTAATTTGATGATATTTTTATTATGTAATTATTTTTAATCCATTTAAGATTGTGAAGGCTATTAAGTTTTAATATTAGCTGGACAGTTCTGTCTTGCCTTGCTGGCTTTGGTTGCTTCACTGTCCTCTCGGATCAAGCACTAACCTGTATATTGCTGTGAGTTTGGTCATGTTGTACAGCCGTCTGGAGGTTTACTGAGGCCCTCTAGTGGTTTCTGCCTCCTTCGAGTGTGAATGGGACAATGCATTTGTTAAACCAACCCAAAGTCACATGGCTGCTGAAAATAGAAGGGCAAAATGCAGCTTTTTAATTCACATTTTCTCTGTCCTCCTTTGTTTGATTCGGGAAGAATAAGCATACTACAAATTCAGCATGTGGTTGAAGTGTTTAAGGAGTTAGAGCTTCTTGAGTCTGCATGGTGCAGCCCTTCTGTCTTTTGTTCTTGGCTGTGCGGTGTTTGTAAGCTTTTGGTGTGTCTGGCCTCTGAGTCTCTTTCCTTGTTTGTGTGTATTTACAGTCAGTATATCAGTGCAAGTCTCCCTCCAGTCAGCCCAGAGTATTTTGAGCGTGGCATTATTTGTGGTGGATTAATTTGAACTAAAGTCACCAGTTTACTGACAATTAGAGGAATAGTAAATGATAAAGTCATTATTTAAACAGCCTATTTGTTTTCAAAGAAATACTTTATGTAATGTGGCAATGAAAAAAAATTTAAAATTTTAATGTAAATAAAATGGTTTTGGTAAGATGTCTTTTTAAAAAAACTCTCCTTATCAAGGCTACATTTGTGGTCAAAATTTGTTTATCTATGCAATTAAAATATTCTGACAATTTAATGTAAGGTTTTTTATTATTAATGTAATTTATTAATATATTTTAGCAGCCATTATTGGACTTTTCATTCTGTCACAATGATTCTAATATGATTTGTTGCACAACAAATCTTTCATATTATTTTCAGTGTTGTATAAGCAGTTCTGCTGCTCAACATTTCTGTAGAATAATGTATTTATAAAGATACTTTTATGAATAGAAATTTGTAAAGAACTATTTATTGCAATTTTTTGTAACATACAAACTTTGCCACATCAGTTTTATGCAGTCTTGATGCATCTGTTTTACTAATGGTTAATAGTAACATCAGTGTGTGAGTATACATATATTTTATTTATGTATAGTTTTTATTTCACAATGAACATATTGCAGAAATATATATTTTGGACAATTAAGTACAAGTATGTCGATTTCGAATGAATTTAAAGTATTTTATATAATTTTCAAGTAAATTGGTGACTCCTATCAGTGTATTTCATGGTGAAAACTTTAAGGATGCAGTGTCTCCTTTTCTGCTTCCATAAGGTCCTTTTGGCTTTATCTAAAATATTAACTGCAAAACTGTAAAGTTACTAACTTCATCAAACAGGCATTTCTCTTGAGAATAAAGACCATTTTTACAGTTGTTCCAGGCCTTTTGAGGTAAACAATTTTACAATTTGATATAGCTTAAACTTTAGTTTGCATGATTCTAGCATCTTATTCAAGCTAGTAACCAATTTTTCATTTGGAAAATTTCAGTCGCAGACATAAATTTCAATGTTATTTTTGAACAATTATCAAACAGTTAGAAAGTTTAGCTCACTATTTGATGGCACCCTCAACATTATACTAGAAGTTTGCCTTTGGTGCGAAAAGGACGACTGCATCAACTTCATGTTCATTGCATATGTGTCTTCTGTGGTCAATATCGATTTGTCTCTTTCTTTCCTTTTGTACACTCCCCATTTCGCTCCTGACTATGTCCAACTATTTATTTATTTTTTGTTTCTTGGATTGCACTCTTTCCTTATTTTCTTTCTATTCTCATGTTCACTTCCCTGCTCCTCTCCTTTTTTCTTCCTTTCCTCCCACCCCACTGTGTTCCTCTCTTGCCCCCTCGTCCCTCCACCTGTTTGTGATGGGTCCTTCAGCTGGCGTTGTTGCAGTACCGCCTCAGTATGTCCAGCATGCTGTGCCAACCCCCCGCCCCACCAGGCTCTGGGACCCTCCACACATACCAAGTACTTTTACCTTTTCATTCAGTTCCACGGGCTTCCTGGAGGTAAACTTAGAATAGACAAGAGTTGGATTTAGGGGTCGCTTTCAACACTGTTTTTGATTTGGTCTGATTATCATGTGTGAAATTGAATTAACGTGACTAAAATTTGTCTTGTGAAATGTGATGTTGAGAGCTTCTAAATGTGAAACACTTTGTGTTTAATAATGCATGTCTGTTTACATTGTTATTTTGTTTTTAACACGTTTTATATGATTTGTATTCTTTTATTTGGTGTAATTCTCCCTTTTCGCCTTATTTTCACTTTACAAACACTACTAAACTACACAGAATATCCAGACCAAATTGCCCAGACATTTTTTTTTATTATTGTTTTCTTTGTAGGCCTATATGTACTTATGTATGTAAAAATACATGGTTTCAGCTGTACATGTGAGGCTTCAAGTATGATGGTTTCAGAAAATTATTACACTGAATGTTGTGTAATGTGCTGTCAGTCATTATATGCTGCCTGTTTACACCCGTCTCAGATGACCAGTTTAAATGTGGACAAAAGAGACAAATTTACACTTGGTACGCTTTTTTGTTGCCTTCTTAATATTGAGACAAATTTGAAAAGGTTTAACTATTTGGTTTTTAAGTTTAAACAATTATATTTACACTCCATTTACAAAGTCAACTGCAACCACATGTACTGGTCGCAAATCTATACTTTTAAAATGCTAGTAGGACTTAAATGGTGTCTAAACTATTACTTTAAACGCAAAATTATGTTAGATGACAATTAAATTTTTTTTTTCTTTAGAAAGTAATATCAAAATATAAATGCAAAGCAAAAATTTACAAAATCTAAGCTGCCTGCCTTAACCAACTACAAAACTGAGTGACAATCACAGTACTAAAAAACACCTGAAATGTCCATATCTGACATAATAGGACAGCTTTCCTTATTAACTGCACATCCTGTCCTATCATGACATTTAAAATAATGAAGTACACCATGTAAGTACACCATGTTCACTATAAATGATTCGTTTTGATGGAGTAGTTAAGTCTGATGTCGTACCATCCAAGTAGTAGTCTATCATGGAATAGTATGTCATTTATGTGCTTTTCCGCGAAAGTGCTGATTCATAAAAATTGTTTTTGTGCTTGCATTTAGTATTGTGGCTGATAGCGGTTATTCCCTTCATACATGCTCTCGTCAGCGCATAATTTCTCTAGTCATTGCTGTCTATAGTAGTTCTGTGCCCCCCCCCCCCCCCCCTTTATTGTAGTTTTGTGACTACAATAAACACCATTCCAATTAGGCATGGCACAATAACCATTTTCGTGGTTTGGAAAAGTCAAGGTTTTAAAACCGCCAAAATTTTCTGTTATACCATTTCTCCTGTATATGTACGATTTTTTTTTTATGTTTTGTTTTTAGTTTTTAAGACAACAGCGTCTTCAGCAAAAAAGCTATACAAAGATGTCGTGTTAGTGTAAGAAATCTGTGTTTTTGATACTAATGAAGACAGCAGAAATCAATAATTCATTTGAAATATTTAGCCTGGCATGTTTACTATTCAAAAATATTTTAAATGTTTCTAAAATAAAACCTATTGTGTTCAAAGGGACAAAAGTTTTAGTTTTTTTACCCAGACATTTCAAAAGAACATATTGTAGTGCAGTAATCACAATACTGAAACCGTGATATTTTTATCCAAGGTTATCAGACCGTCAGAATCATATCCCGGCCCATGCCTAGTTCCAATTCAGCACTAGCATCTTGAGGACTAGGTTGTGCAAAAATGACTCAATTGCAAGTGCAAAATACTAGGGCTATGTGATGCATTGAAATACTGTACAATTTTGCTCCAATTATTATAAAAAAAAAAAAAACTCTAGATAATAAGCTTATTGCGCCATATTCTGCTACCTTTTCAGCAGTCCACATTTGTTCCTCCGCAAAACAAAATTTGTGAAAATCAGTGAAATTGTTTAAATGTGACTTTTTGAAATTTCATTATCTCTAACTTTTATAGTAGTCTATTTCTTAATCCTTAAATTAATAATTAAATATGAAAAGTTTGGGTTCTATGGCTTACTCATTTTAATTGTGATTTTAATATTACAATATTTACCCAAAATATTTGTGATTTTAAGATTTTTCCCTTTATTGGGCAAGCCCTACAAAGCTAGTCATACATTGTATTCGTGTGTAGAAATATTGAGCTGTACACAAAGTTTGCAAGTTGATTAAAATGTACAGTTTTATTACTTGGTTTTCTGATTTAATGCTTTCAAAAGCACATTTCCAAGCCTTTAGTTCCCACACCTTTGCATTCAATTGTCAGCTCTGGCATTTAAGGTGGCTCTGAAATGAGGCATCGAAATCTGTGTTCTGAGTTGACCCAATTACATAGCAGTTATAATATTGCACCCAGTTTCAGTTCCCAACCTTAATTTTAATGTTGTTGTTATTATGAAATTTGTTATTAACAGTTGTTGAACACCAGCCAATAATACTAGGTGTAAATGGAGTCCTAAAAGTCTGACGTGTGTTTGTTATTTTTTTGATTATGTCTTAGGAGCCCTTCATGCCTTCAGAGGAGCACGTTCTTGTAGTACGTCTCCTGGTCAAGCACCTGCACACCTTTTCCAGCAGCCTGAAGCCAGAGTCCATCTCTTCCTCGCCATCCGCTCACTCCCACAGCAGTCCTTTGGAGGAGCTCAAGCGGTGGGTTTTACAACCTGCTAGCATCTGTCAGCTCGTACCCCGAATCAGGCCATTGAACCAAAACATCTGTAAATCTGAGGTGGCATGTCGTAAAGAGGAGCTATTCATCCGATCAGGCGCCGGGGACTTGATTGAACTGTCTTCTGTTTTACTGCTCTGTCAATAAGCCTCCACTTTCTGTCTCCCACAGTGTGGTGGTGCAGAGGTTTGTCCAGCAGAAGCTGTACGTCTTCCTGCAACACTGCTTTGGTCACTGGCCTTTGGATGCGTCTTTCAGAGCGGTAAATGTCCTTGAGTGCGCAATGATGTTTGGGAGCCTGTTTTATATGATGGTGATATATATTTAGTGAAGGCTTTGATGGTAGGGAAATGTGTTAAGTTTAATGAAATATGTTTTTTGTTTCCTACTTTTGTAGGTCCTAGAGACGTGGCTTAGTTACATCCAGCCCTGGAGATACACTGGAGACAAAAACAACACACAAAGTGATGGTCCAAACAGAACCGTTCCTGATAAATGGTACTTACTGATAGAAAGTGATACTAATTCATATATAGTTTTTATTTTAAACAAATGCCTTTGTTTCTGTTTACTAAAAGTTTATTATAAATAAATTTTGTGCTTTTATATCAGCAAATTAAAAGCATTTCTGGAGTACCATAACAATAAATACAAGTGTAATGTCAAGGGAAATTCAGCTTTGTCATCACAGGAATAAAATGGCATTTTAAAATATATTCAAATAGAAAAGTTATTTTAAGTTATAATGGTATTTAACCTCCTAAACTCTGGGACACGGTACCGGGTCCGCAACCTCATTTACTTCCGCATTCTTTAAATTTTAAAGGTCTATACTGGCCCAATACCTTCATTAGTGGTTCCATTCTCTTATCAGTTGGAACAGAATAACCTTTGCATAGATTATGATGGAGACATTTTCTTTTTTCCTTTGGCTACTGACATGTGCAGGAACCACCAAAATTAATTCCAGAAACCTAGACCACAAGTTCAAATTTTAAGTTAACAAAAAAAGCATTTTTTTAAGGGTTTAAGGGAAACCCTAAAAAAGCACTTTTAGAGGTTTAAAATGTTTGTTTTACTGATAATGTAAATTAAGTCTAAGTAATAGCTTTGAGGTATTATTTATTAAGGTATTTATTTATTCATGATGTGATTTGATTTGTTTCTGTAGTTCTTAAAGTTTCAATTTGCTCCTTTCCTCAAACTAAACCTTTAAAACCTTATAAATCGTCTAAATTCATGAATTCCTGGCATTTAATGTTGTATGTTTTTTTTTTTTTTTTTTTTTTTTTTTCACCTTAAAAAATTTAAATTATTCAGATTGTGTACCAATGAGATCCATGTAATCCACAGGGCTTCATTTGTTCAGGAGAATCTGCTCTTGTACACAAAGCTTTTCCAGGGCTTCTTGAATCGGGCCATGCGCACAGACTTGGTCAATGCCAAAAATGCCCTGATGGTCTTCAGGGTCGCCAAAGTCTTTGCTCAACCAAGCCTGTCAGAGATGATTCAGAAAGGTATATGATTCTAAGTGGTGTTTTCATTGTATTTAGTATTTATTTTTTACCTGTTGATGTAGACATACATTCTTATTTTATCAAACACAGATCTTTTCTATTTCCAGGTGAGCAGCTGTTTTTGGAACCAGAGCATGCCATACTGCAGCGGCATAATCGTGTTTTCCTCACGCCTTCACATGGTGGCAGCTTCCTTTCTGCTCGCCAGCCAATGGGCACCGACAATGTCTTCAAGGTCAAAAGTCATGTTTATAGTCTGGAAGGGCAGGATTGCCAGTACAACCTCATGTTTGGTCCTGATCAGCGAAAAAATGTAAGGTGACAATTACTTCTAGATCAGCTAAAAAAAGTCTTCTTGCAAAATCATAGATCATGGGTTTCCCTGTCGATTCTAGGTGTTAAAGCTCATCCAGATTATTGCTCAAGCCCGACAGACAGCTAAACGAATATCGGATCATTCTACAGAGATGGCTGCAAACAACTCTTTCCTCTCGTGGTTTGGCGTTGGCTCTCCTGATCATAACAGCACCTTTACTGGAGGAGAGATGGATGATATGGGAGGAGAAGGTGTGAAGAAAACTCATGAGTTCCTGGATAAAGCCCTGGACTACCTCTGTCAGATATTCCGGGTCAGTTTATAACTACTCTTATTTAGGGTATACTCCATTACTGTTTAATAGTTTGGGTTCAGTAAGGTATTTTTGTGTGTGTGTGTGTGTGTCTAATCTCTAATCCCCATTAAGGCTGCATTTATTTATTTATAGAATGCACACATTTTGTAAGGTTTATATTTTTGTGTCATTTATTCTTAACAACAATTTTCAACATCTTTACTCCCATCTCTAGTGTCACTTGATCCACTAGAAATTATTCTAGTGGATCATAATATGCTAAATTGATAGTTAAAGATTTTTTTTTTCATTAAATTTTTTATTATTTTTTTTTTATAATTGTGTCTTTGTTGACCCAACCAAGGTTTCAATTTGCCATATTTTTGTATATGTTTTAATGTGTATATATTTTTTATATTTAGGTATCTATATATTTATTACATTTTCGCCTTTAATGTTGGCCTTGTGTTGTACAGTTAAATGCAGGCCAGCTGTCTCAGCTGATTAGCAATGTGGCATCTGTAGACAATAATGGGGCATCTAAACAGCTACCCGACTGCATCCCGAGTGAAAATGGCCTTGTTTTAACTGACCTGGGCAGGCTGCAGGTGAGATTAGCGAGTAGTCATCTTTTTAACATTTGGCAAATTGTCATATTGATATTTATAAATAATTTAATATTTTACAGATCATCAATGGTCTCCGCAGATTTGAAATTGAATATCAAGGAGATCCAGAGCTTCAACCTATCAGGAGCTATGAAAATGCTTTTTTGGTTCGACTGCTGTTTCAGATCTCATCGTTTATTAATGAAAGGGTAAGAATTTTCCTTCTGTCTGCAATGTCATCCAAATGTTCATTATCGTCACTGGTTTATTAAATGATGTGATAATGCCTATGTTAAAGGGATAGTCTGCCAAAAAAATTAAACTTTTATTATTTACTCACCCATTTACTTGCCAAATTTTTTAAGCACAAAAGATGATATTTTAAAGAATGACAAAAAACTAACTATTGACTTCTACAATGGAAAAACAAATATTATGGAAGTCAATGGTTACAAGTAATGATGATGATGACAATTTTTTGGGTGAACTATCCCTTTAAGTGATTTAACCCTCATCCTGATCTTCATCTTTTTCTATACTAAATTCAAAAATGAGCATAAAATGTCCATGTAAACTCTGCTACTTATACATTTGGATTTTTTAATAAATCAGTTGTGACCGTATTTTTTGTGTTTTAGCTGGGAGAGCATATGGAGGTGCTGTGTTCTCGACAGGACTTTCTGGGCAGTGTAGGGCGACACTACTTGAGTAGTTCTTCAGCTGTGGTGGAGCAGCGGAGAAAGAGTCCTGTGACGCGGCAGATGAGGGATCGTCCTCAGCGAGCTCGCCTCAGTCTGCGGGCTCTGGCCAGCTATCGCACCCTTCTCACTCTCCTCCTGCTCTACATGCTGTTTGCACTACTTTCATTCGGCCTGTTCTCCAGCACTGGACTCATTCTCGTCATCAGCTTTCTATATGAGCTCCTGTCGAATTTCTTTCATGAAAAACTGAAGACGCATTAGATGAAAATGGATTCTTTTTAATGGATTTTCTTTTTCTTTTTTTTTCTTTTTTTTGGATAAAAATGGTCTTTTTATTTTTATTTTAAATGAACTTCTAGCACCCTGCTGGATTTTATGAACAGTATTTGCACTGCAAGTGTATTGGTGTGTTTAATGAAAACTTGAACGAGGAATGTTTTTTTTGTTTTTCTTTTTTTTCCTTTTTTTTCATTAAATTCATTTACAATGTTGTTAATTTTGAAAATATGAAATGGAGAACAACACAAAGCTTGCACTTAAATAGCTCCATTTCATTAAATGACATAATGTCTCATTTGAGTACTTTTTTTTTTTTGCTTTTGAAACTCATCAGATCTGGAGGTATTTTAACACTAAAATTAAGTTTTGCATTGACGTTAGCGAATCTATTATTTCCCTGCTGTATTAGAGGAAGTAAAGGTGGCTGCTATGGTGACAGCACAATAGTAAAAGAGAGAGAACGTGTACAAGATTTGCAATCAAATCGGCTCTATTCACAAAAGCAATCTGCGAAAATTGAGTAAATCATGATTCATAACTGTGCAGAGAAGCGTCATCCGCTTGAGTGGACGCTCATGACGTAAGCATCAGTGCGGGAACTTGTTTGGCAGCGGAATGGATACGCGAGTCGCCTCTTTGCAGAGGAATATTGACTTCTTACAAAAGCAGCACAGTGATACTCTTGAGAAATTACACGGCGAGATAGATTACCTAAAACGGGAAAATAAAGGTAACTTTCCTTGTATATTCTACAGAGAAATGTATTATGTTCCTACCCACAATACTTTGTCGTGTTCATTTTAATGGTGGTAACATAAGTTAGTTGGAAAGTGACAAGAATGTTCTGCAAACATCTTTTTTTAATAGTTACAGTTGATATGTCAGCATTCCTAAATGATTATAAAGATTTCATCATTTACATCATTTTCGTATGTTTATGTTAAAAACTAAACTTGTAGAAATATGAAGATGTGAGGAGAATGACAACAGTCACTGGAGGCTGAAGCTGTAATGGTCTTTTTTTTTTAGCGGAAGAAACCGTTGCAGGTTTGAAATGACATGGGAGTGGGTAAACGGTGACAAAATGTTTATTTTGGTATAAATAATGTGTTTAATGGGGACCTGGCACCGACTTTTTGGGGTTTAACAGGGGATACAGTAATACAGGTTGCCCGGTAACGTCGAGTTGCTGAATGAGGAAAATGAAAGGCGTTTGTAACCGCTGTGGGAGGCAAAGTGTCAGTTTACGCAGACAAACCTCTGGTGTTTTGTTTCTGTTAGAAGGACTTTTTTATCAAATGTAAAGGTATTTTGATTACAACAACAACTGGATGTAAGAAATACACGATAAATTGCAATGAAGCAAAATGTGAGACTTTTAGCCCTGGTCCATTTTGTAAAACAAAACGTTATAAATACTTCAAAACACTAAAACGTGAAGTATTGTCTTTTGTTTGTTTTGTGGTTGCAGAGTTGCAGTATAAGCTGATAATGGAGCCTCCAAATTCAAGCCGTAAAGGTTGAGTGATTATTTTTCTCAAACCCATATGACATGTTTTGGTACACATTTTAGATTTTACAATATATAAATACGACAGCTGTCATCTATATATTATAGTTATATTATACTTGTATAGGTAATTATAAGGGATAGTTCACCCAAATATGAAAATTTACCAAATAGATATGACAGGAGGCAGCCGTCATCTATAAACTACCTGACAAAAGTCTTGTTGTCAATCCCAGTTGTAAAAGCAACAAATAATAGCTTGATTACTTGATCGTTTGGAAAAGTGGCAAAAGGTAGATTGTTTTTGATTAATCATCTGTTGAACTGCATCCCAATCATCACAGATACTGCAGATGATCTATTTGAACCCGCATGGACCCAATATTCTCACAGAAATCAGTCAAGTTTGGTGAAGGAAAAATCATATTACATTCAGCATGGGGGCATGTGAGAGATCTGCTGAGTGGATGGCAACATCAACAGCCTGAGGTATCAAAACATTTGTGCTGCCCGTTACATTACAAACTATAGGAGAGGGTAAATTCCTCAGCAGGATAGTGCTCCTTCTCATACTTCAGCCTCCACATCAAAGTTCCTGAAAGCAAAGAAGGTCAAGGTGCTCCAGAATTGGCCGCCCCGGTCACCAGATTCAAACATTATTGGGCATGTCTGGGGTAAGATGGAGGCATTGAAGATGAATCCAAAGAAACTTGATGAACTCTAGGAGTCCTGCAAGAACACTTTCTTTGCCATTCCAGATGACTTTTTAATAAGTTATTGGAATCACTGCAGAGATGTAAGGATCAGTCATCCAAGCTCATGGGAGTCATACATATTATTAATTATTTTTCCACTGCACCATGACTTTATATTCTATACTGTACATTATTTCTATTAAAAGACAAGACTTTTGTCTAAACAAAGTCTGGCCTTACTGTCCTAATTAAACAACAAAAAATCAAGGCATGGTCATATTTATTTTTGGTTAAATAAGCGCATTATCTAGTGGCGTTTAACTTTCATATGAGCCACTTCTAATACCAAATGATCAACTAGAAGTCAAGTTTATATTTGTTTTTCCTAAATCTTGGATAGGCGACAAGACTTTTGTCAGTAGTGTATATTATACTTATATTATACTTCTATAGTTAAAAAGGGATAGTTCACCCAAAAATAACATTTTACAAAATATATATATGACAGGAAGCAGCTGTAAAATCCATAAACGGCATACGGAGAGCAACAAGTTCCAGAAAGACCGAAGGAATTATCTGGAACAAACTCTGGAGGACACCTGCTCATCACAAATTACAGAGATCAGGTGACTACAAAGATTGAATTCTCTTAGATTTATCCCTTTCAGTACATCTTTCAAGTAGTTTAATATAAAGATGTAAATAAAGTGATGCAGATTATTAACATCCCCTAATACATTCAACACTCATTTAAAATACAGAGAAAGCCGATCAAATAGTTCAGGGATGCCGAATAAGCGGTCAATAGAAGGTTCTACAGAAGCCAAAGCAGGGTTCATCACTTCTCTCCAGCCTCTAATGATCCAGTGTAGTCCATCTCAGGCTCCTCGAGCTCCCAGCCTACAGGAGTGTGAGATCATCATACGGCAGCTGTACAACGCTAACAGCCTACAGTCCCAGGAGGTGAGGTCATCAGCAGATCTTCCTGACTACATCTACATGCCTATTGGGATGGGTTGTTGGATTTTGATTGACTGATTATATATTTGTGTTAATTAGTTAAACCTGATAAAGCGATTATAAAATACATCCTAATTTGTCTTCTCTCAGATTTTACGAGTGAAGGCGGTTCTCAAAGAAATAGTTTTCAACAAGAAAATCACTGCAGAGAATTACATTTTGACCAAGGCTTACCTTGCTGATGGTAAAAGGTAATTTATTGCTACATTTATCTTCAGCATTACAGAAAGCTTTTGTAGATGTCCCGGTCCTTTCCAAAATTAAATTAAAATTGAAAAAAGATTTTATATACAAATTTCCCTCAATAGCTTTACCACATTTATTAATGGTTTTAAATAACATTATTTTACATGTGTAAGTAAATAGAATGTTGTATAATTATTTTAATTTCTTTATTAATTTAATTAGATTATAATGACTTTTTACATTAATTATGGAGAAATTTCCCTCATAAGAAGCACTTCAACCCTTTATCATCTGTTTTGCTAACACTTTGGGTTTTTTCATTGCCGTTATGTAACTACTAAGTTATTACCGGCCTAGTATTAAGATATTAACTGGTCTAGTACTTATAATGTATGATCTTAATCTTCATCCTTCATCAGACCTGCTGTCTGTGTGAGTCCTATTGCCCCACTATAGTGAAGGGGACACTATACTGTCAGTGAGCGCCATCTTTCGGATGAGATGTTAAACAGGAGGTCCTGACTCTCTGTGGTCATTAAAAATCTCATGGCACAACTCGTAAAAAGTAGGGGTGTACCCCGGTGTCCTGGCTAAATACCCTCTGTCGGCCCTTACCATCATGGCTGTGGTTAATTACTGTGTTATTTAAATACACAATACATTACATTTAAAATTAAGTGACTTTTTTTTTTGTCAGAGCTGAAGATTCAGAGCCACTTCCACAGCTTTCTCTCCAAACATTGCCCAAAGGACTGTAAGTAATTTTTAGAAAATATCAAACATGATATATATGGTTTCTAAACATCACATCAGGAACAAATCAGTTTGATCTGTCATTATCTGAACAGCCCTGTGTCTCAAGCCAGTAAAGCAGAGAAAGTGATCCTCCCAGCCCTCAAGCAGACCCTCAACAACAACATAGCCGACAGACACCGGAGAACACAGGCTGTGCAGAGACGTCGACAGCAAAGAACCATTCGCTAATGGACCAATCATGTGATTACATAACTACATGTATATAAATTCCATGCCACACATTTCACATTCAAGCAGCAGTTTAAATGACTTTATTAATCGAGCAATGCACAGTTAAGGCTTTAGTGTACTGAGCTAAACAAAACAGAAGATTTATCAGGTAAATAAAAAGACAGAGAAAATATGAATATATTGCCATCATTCCAGGTGCTAGTGCTGATGGGATACTTCTAAGCTGAAAGACAGGCCTGCCTTACGCTTTGAGCCCAGGTGTTTAGCAGCGCGGTCACCGAGTGCTTGTCAGGGAGCTGAAGAAGTTTAGAGGTCATATTCTTATGCACAGTCTGCAGGAAGGGGTTGGCCTCTGAAAACAGGAAGACAAAGGCAAGGAAGTATTGAGTTGACACTTTTCACAGACTATAAATTAGATGCATGAAGGGATAGTCCAAATATGAAAATTTACTTTTGATGTATTTCTGTCTGTTGTTGAACACAAAACAAGATATTCTGAAGAATGTTAGAAAATAGGAAGCCATTAGCTGTTTCCATCCAAAAATGCAAATTAACTTTATGCACAAAACTGGAATATCGCATAAAGGTGTACAAATTAAGCAGGGTTTACATCCAACGAGTCAATAAGAACAAAATCATCACTTGCTGATTTACTGGCGCCAAATATCTACAGTAAAAACAGAATTTTCTGTGGTAGGAGAAGCTGTGAATCTTTTCCTTATTTAATAAATTACTTGCGCCTCAGAAGATGATGCCAACATGCAATAAACTGTTTATTAATAATACATTAACAGAAATACTGAATTGTTTACAATGTTTTAGAATAACCAAAACACCAATGTTTTACAGTATGCTCAGCCTGCTAGTTTGTTCATTCATACACATTTGATCTCTTGCACATACTGGAATTTGTTCAGTAAAAGCGTTTCCATCATATGCGCATCTTTTCTTATAGAATAAAAAGTTTATCCTACTCAGTTATGCCCATACATTTATTATGCGCATTTAAAAAATGTATGCACATCTTGGCGTTTCCTTCTACCGTGTTTTATGCGCATGTCCAAAATGCGCATAAAAATAGGTGGATGGAAAGGTAGTTATTGTCATCCAGGAACAAGGAACATAAAGAAACAAAATATTATGTATTAGCCAATAGCTGTTGTTTTTTTCCCCCAACACTCTTCAATGTACCTTCTGTCTAGCATTTTAAAAGAGTACTTAAGATAACTTGCTGACATTTAAGACTAGAATTGCCATAGGGTTAAATTCACCTATAGCAATTTTCAAATGTACATGACAGATTATTAATAAGGCACAAGTCTACCAGTGATTTTTTTTTATGAAAAAAACAAAAAACATTCAAGAAATTATTTTGAAATCCCCTGTTGTCGTGTTGCTAAGCACTGTCTTTTCCTACTGGGGTAGCAGTAATCAGTTTTAGTCACTATGTGGGATAAAAGTGATTAATGGATCCGGAACAGGTATTAGAGGCATTCAATGCCATAATTGGTGTGGAGTCTG